TTTGTGGGGGAAGATATTCTAGCTTGAATGACTCATTTTGGGTACAAAGAATCTGATTTCTATGAATCATACCAGACAGGAGACGGGTAAGCAAGTAGAGGATCAGAGACAGAGTCTGAGGCCCATATTCCATCTGATTCTTTAACTTTTATTTTTAGACATTTTTCTTCTCCTCTTATTTGTTAGACAGTTTCATTTGTTTGTTTGTTTGTTTTTGACAGCCCTCTCAAGAATACAGGCTGTTCACACTGAGTGAACTCCGATTTAGGGAAATTAGAGGCAACCTTACAATTGAGGTCTTCCAGGAAACCACGAGAGAAGTGAAATGATAAAAATTCTGTGGATTGGAATATTGGAAGATTTCCATTATTTTCCCTTTTTCAGTTGTCAGACTGTGGGCTTTCACTGTGATTGTGGGCTGTTAGTCTTTAAAGACCATGATCCTGGGGAAGGGAAAATTGGAACAAGACAGGTTGAGATGTCACAAATCTCATAGTTCTTACTGGGACTCAATGACATTTTCCCAGAATAAATGCTTTCTGTATTTTTAAGCCCTGTATTAATTTTCAGAGTTATTAAAAAATTCTTATCTTAATCTTTTTTTTTTTTCTTCACCAGTTTTTTGCATTTTTTTTATGGAATAAAAGAAATTCAGAAGTCTACTCCATCATTTTCACTGGTGTAACTATGTAATCTGATTTTTGAAAGGGCATCTCATGCAGAGATATTGAGGTTATTATAAATGGCTGTGAAAGAGGACATTGGAAAGCTATAAATAACAATTTTAAATCTGTGTTCATGCTTGTGAAGACTGCATTGCATAATTAATCGGTGAGTGAAAAACAGTTATTTTTAGAGCAAAGAGCAAAAAACACCAGGTTGATCTATGAGAAGAGATGGAATTGTCTCTATACTTTTATATTTCAGTTCAGTCATAATCTATATTTAGCTCTTGGGAGTGCAATTTTACTCTCTTCTACAGAGCACTGTTTTCAGGCTTGGGTCTAACAATTTTACTCTCTTCTACAGAGCACTGTTTTCAGGCTTGGGTCTTCACTTCTCTCGTGGTTTCCTGGAAGACCTCAATTGTAAGGTTGCCTTTCTCTTTACTGAGAGTAGAGTCCTTCCTTAATATGCTTGACTATTCTCACTTTTTTTTCAGGACTGAAATAAGACATTTTTTTTCATTTGGGACAGAATCCCTGATAACCAAGTCTAACCTGGTCAAGTGTGAACTTCTCATGTAGCATTCTGTATTTCTCCAGTTATGTCTTCTATCATATTAGGTTGAAACTGCTTCTTAATTATCTATATTCTACAACAGAACTTTAGTTTTGGTATAGGAGAAATATAATCCTAACCTGCTAGATGTCAGATGTGTCCCCGGAAATTGAATGAATTTCAAGGAACAATGGAGGTTAAGGATAGGAAAGATTTATTAAGAGATAGCTCCTGAGAGACAAGAGGGATCCCAGAAGTGGGTTGCCACTGAGGCCCTTTGTCAGGGTAATTTATGCAGCAAAATCACAATGTGGGTACAACATAAGTCACACTGTAACCAACCTATAGGAATACAACTACAGCTGCTGACATAATATTGACCCAAAAGGGAAGTGGTCACCTAGAAAGAGTACGTAGAAAGAGCAAAGACGTGCTTGAGAAGGGATTGTTCCGAATGCTCTGGTCACCAAACTGGGCACTTGATGCCTAGCTGGACTTCCTGCACCAAGGGGTGCTAATTACAATATAATTCCAAATTACTGCTTATCCCTTAGGGAGGTGTGCAGGCCTGGCCATTGCATCTTTATTCAAAGGCCTTGTGTTCTTCAGATGCACCTCCAGCCACAATTCTGATGTCTTTATTTTTTTACTGGCTTCCTTGGGAGCCCAGTCCTTCTCTGACTGCATATTAATTTCTATTTAACTTAGCTGCCTATAATAGTTTTGGTGAGAGCAATTCTCTAGGATCCAGAAAACAATACTGTGAAGAGGGAATCATGCTGGATCCCAGAAGAAACATGAGAAGACCCAAATTGCTGCCTGTAGCTCTCAAAACCTGAGGATGAGGATAGGGAAAATTATAATTTGAATGAGATACTGGATTGAAATTTTTGATATCTGAAATGTGAGAATAATGATTTAAGAATGGCCCAGAAAAACAAAGGAGTCAAAATAAGATTTCATCTAAGTGCATTTAAGAGCAACTCAAATTGAAATAGGATTAAATGTACTTTCTGCTTGTAGTATACCGAGTCAATATCTTTCATCAACTATTTAGAGCAAGATAGGACAGCTTGCAGATAATAAAAATGAATGGGGATTACAAATAATTTAAAGATTAAGTAATTGCTGACTTAGTTACTTTTCCCATTTCTGAGACAAAATACTTGACACCCAAAGTTAAAGGAGGAAAGGTTTATTGTAGCCTACAGTTTGTAGAGATTTCAATTCATAGTTGGCTGGCCCCAAGGCAAGATGCATGGTAGAGGAGCATGGCAGAGCAGGCAGGTAGAAAGCAGCAAATAGCAAGCAGCAAGTGATAAGTGACAAGCAGCAATATTCTTTCTGTTCCTTACACCCACCCTTAGGAGGGTAGCGCTCACACCTTTAACCCTAGCATCACACTATGAATAAATCCCAGCATCACATCCTTGACCCCAGCATCATAGACCCTAGATCCAGCCAGCTCTGAAAAACCCACATATGACATGAGACTTTGAGAGGCTATCTAGACACAAGCCATAACACCATCCTTTTAATGTCCCCTCCCAAAGTCATACTGAAATTTGATTACCATATATCAGTATTAAGAGCAGTTCCTTTAAGAGACAGATAATAATTACTCCATCCTCATGGATGGACTGCTGCCTTGTTGTGGGCTTGCACTGGTTCTCATGACAGTGGCCTTGTTAAAAGCTTGCCTCCCTCTCTCTCAGCTCTGTCACATGAAGACTCACTTGCCCTTTACCATGTTAGGACATAGCCTAGAGGCCCTTGCCAGATGCTGGTGTATCCTGCAGAACCATGAGAAATAAACTTGTCTTTAAAAATTACTTAATCTGTGGTATTCTGTCATAATAGCAAATAATAGGCTAAGACTGCAGCTGTGAGCCAGATCAGGTAGAGCCTTGTGTGTGTTGTTAGGAGTATGTAGCTTGTTGGAAAACACCTGGTTAGATTTATCTTTTAGAGGATTGTCCCTTCAGTACAGAGCTGGACTCCAAAGAGTTAAATATTGAAGTACTAATAAATATTAAATGTATAGAACTATATTTAAATCATCTAGTCAACACTTATGATGACCAACAGTAAGGTGAGAACAGTTAAAATAGATGTAAAGAGAATATTTAAGAGAAGAGCTTGACTATCAACTAAACATAGTGTGTGGAAAGAACACTTGAACATCATTCAAGTAATTCTGTGTTAAGATATTTACTAGAATCATGAACTTTTATGGATGAGTCATGTTGCTAGAAGGAAAATGCACTTTGGATCAGATCTGTGGTGCTTGTATCACTTCTGGGCCATCCAGGTGGAGGTAGATATGCAGGTGTGGATTCCAAGAGAGAATTCGAATGGAGATCTCAGAGTTGAAAATATAATTGCATCTGTCTTTATCTATCATAGATAGAACAATGGGTGTCATAGGGTCCAGTTCTAATGAGATATTATTGCAAATTTTGTGGGATGGAATTCCTGGACAGTGTTTACAATCTTAATTCAAAAGATATGGCGTTGGTTGTTATCTTTACTTCCTTCCGCTGGCTACTTCCTCTTTTCTTCTTCTAACTGGAATGAACTCAAGTGAGGTTTGCAGGAACAGCCACTATTTTGCTTCCACTGGCAACACTGAGATGACTTGAACTGCAAGCTAGGACTGAATTAGGTGAAACATAATTCCCAAACTGCTAGGTGTCAGATGCGCTGAGTTCGTATCCTCAGAAATCAATGAGTTAATTCTAAGGAACAACAGAGGTTAAAAATAGGAAAGATTTATTTAGAGATAGCTCCTGAGAGACAGGAGACATCCAGAAAATGGGTTGCCGAAGAGGTCATTTCTTCAAGGATGTTTTAAAGGACAGAATCATGAGGTGGACACGAAATCACAAGATGGGTACAATATTGGTCAAACTATAATCAATCAGCAAGCTTACAAGAATAGGTGCTTAGCTAATATTGACCCAATAGGGAAGTGGGTCAACAGCGAGGGTATGTGGGTGACATCATTAACCTTGGCTTGTCTATGACTTCTAAAACAAGAACATTTCTGTGGAATGGGTGGGTCCAGGTGTTTGGGTCACCTATCCTGCTCTCTAATACATATCTGGACTTAGTGGACTGAGTGATACTAATTATAGTACAGTTTCGAGTTCCCTTAGAAAAGTATGTAAGGCTAGCCATATGCGACTTTGATTTTGAGGGCTTACCTTCTTCAGATGCACTTCCTGCCACATTTGTGACGCATTCTTATCTTCTGCACTGACTTTCTCAATTGCCCGTTCCTGTCTGACTGCCTAGTAATTGCTATCTAACTTAGCTGTCTATAAACAGACCACAGAGCAGAAAATGAAAGAGCCATGATCCCTGCTGGCATCACTAAAATAACCTGAACTGACTAGCTCTATATTTCTTTTTAAATGATATAAATAAATCCGTAGGTATTTAATACATTATCAGGGACATTTTATACTACTAAGAAGTAAACACAGTCAAAACTAATGGGAGTCATTAATTCCCACTTGGAAATTTAACATAATCATAACTAAAATTGTCCAAGGCACTGAACTAAGCGTTTGGAAGATATTAACTTAGTTGTGACAGTCTACATTTGTTGGCAGGTCATGCAAGCCAAAATATTTACTTTCATGTAGCTGCAAATGGTGAAGATCCTCCTACATAGGTTTCCACAGTCCTTGCAGTTGTTTTCTTGGTAATCTGATGAGAAGCCATTCTTATTCTCCATTTTGTTTATTTTATAGTCTCTTAACTTTTTCTTTCAGGAGACCTCCCACCTTGGAATGTTTCTCTACTGCCACGTCTGCTTCAGAGTTACACAAACAGCATGAACTTTCCAACTGTATAATAAAAGGGTGTTGTCATGAGTTGAATTGTGTCCTCTGAAAAATTATATGTTGAAGCCTTAACCTCCAGTACCTCAGAACGTGACTTTATTTGAAATAGCACCATTACAACGTCATGAAGTTTGTAGAGTTGTACCAGAGAGGGTGGAACCCTAACACAATATTAGTGGTATCCTTACAGAAAGGAGAAATTCAAACATGCGCACACAGAATGCCTGTGAAGATAAAGGCAGAGGTCAGGATAATGTCTCTACATACTAGCGAATGCCAACAGTTGCCAGAGAACCACTAGCAGTGAAGGGAGAGGCATGGAACAAATTCTTCCTCTTCCACTCCAAAAGGATCTATGTGCAACAACTGGATCTCACAGTTCAGCCTTCAGCGCAGGGAGACAGTACATTTCTGTTATTTAAGCAGCTCAGTTTGCGATACTTTATTATGGCAACCTCAGCAAATTAATATGGAGGTTTTAGTTTCTTTATCTTTGTACTGCAATATTCTTTGCATTCTTTTCTTCAATCTTTTTCTTCCCAGAGTCACTTCCAAGATCTCTTGGGACCTCCATTTTTCTGTTTTCTAAGAGATATTCTCTAAGATTCATTCTTGAGGTAATTGAAGTTGCACTTACATTGCAAAACCAGAATGTTACTAATGGTCTTCCTCTTGGTAATCATGTTGGAAACGATGATTGGATTCATTCTGCAAAGTGTGATTCAACATTCCTTCATCTCCTTACTTGTTCCGCTGGATTGGCAAAGAGTGTGTGAAAGTGAACTGCCATGGAAATTTTATGGCTTTGATGAAACATTTATATTGAAAGTTAAAATAAAACATGTAGTTTCAGTGTCATAATAAAGTTTAGCTATCCATAACTTAAACTTAACCAAAAATATGTTCTAGGAGAATTCCAATAGAGAGGAAGTTTGGGTTACACTTCGAAGTTCGTGATGAATACTGTTTTAGATCATAGAGAGCTAGGTAGAATTTGGAAAAGATGAGAAAAGAAGCAAAAGGTGGAGTATCCCATACTTTATTCTAAGAAAGGATATTCTGTCCTCTTTAGAGAGTAGCATGATTTGAAAAGGGCTTCAATCAATGGCCATCTTCATTAGAGCAATTCCAAAAATGACCTGAATATCTACACCCTGTGTGGAGCCGTGCCAGGCCACAGAACCATCGTGGCCTGTTTTCATATAGATGCTTCAACTAAATACAGAGTGGCATTAAAGGAGATAAATGAAATCCATCTTTGCTACAATTTCACTCAACTGAAGTCACATTTACCAATGCTTCAACATGCCATGTTCTGTGCTAACTGTGCAAAGATGAACAAGGCTTGGACAATGTCTATTTTCACTCACATTCTGATGGGGAATATGTCAGACTTCTGATATATCAAGAGCAGGTATCAGATCCTAGTTGTCCTTCTATCTCCAGTAGCTAGCATTAGTGCCTCATATACTGTAGATCTTTAATAAAACTTAAAATAACAGATATACGTCTATGTTGACTATAGGAATCCCCCAAAAAAGAACAATTAACTCTGCCAGGAGACACTAAGGAAAGGGCTAGAAAGAAAGCTAAAACTAGAGTGTGGCTCAAAAGCTATTCACAAGAAAGAAGATTAGATGGTAAAAGGTAGACAGAAAGTCTCTCACAGTTGTCAGACTGACATCAGTAAAGACAAGAAGGCAAGTGGATACAGCTTGATTAAAGCAAATGTTTGACTAAAGTATAACTCCTCTTGGGTGCTTTCCACATGACACTGCATTTGCTGGCAATACTTATAACAAATAACAAGAGAAGTGATGTCACACCCGCTACACAGGGTCAGCAAGAATCACACACATGCCAATGGGCACAGTAAGGTTTTATACCTCTAGCCTCTCCTCATACAGTCTTCCTTGAAAATGGAAAGGAGAAGCATGTTGCAGTGGGTTTAACCCAGAAAAATGTTGTGTTCTGGCTTGTTTTCAGTGGGGCAAAGGATGCTTGGAAGGTGACAGTTTTCTGTCAAGGTGATGTAAACCAAATTCAATTATCAATTTAGAAGTTCTCATTCTGTTAAACTGCTTTGAAAGAAGGCATTTTATGTAAACATCCTGAACATATAAACTTTTAGTACCATTCAATGTAGAAATAATCCATAGTAAATTTTTATATTGGAAAGTAATCTCATTTAATATGGGATCTACACAATAAACCTAGAAGTAATATTTTTAATGTGGTCTACCTCATATTTTTGCTGTATCTTAGAAGGCCTAATTCCAAAGTCAAGCAACAAACTACATGATGATGAGAGTGCCCTTTTGAAAAAATATTTAATTATAATTTTTGTTAACATAATTATAGGATATAATATCAATTTTTGTATAAAGATAATATTTATATTTCTATTACATGTCTAATATCTATTACTTCAATAGTTAATTTTCTGTAGTGGGAATGATAAAAGTTTACATTAACAATTTTGAAATCTATAATATATGCTTATTATGCAGTTAGCCTACTATGCAATAAATCACACTCTTTTCTCTAATCTAACCGATGATTTCTATCCTTGACCAACACCTTCCTTTTTGCTATCCCTATAGGGACACTAAGATTGCTTCAGTGTCCTAGCAATCGTGATTAAGCTGCAATGAACATAGAAGTGCAGATATCTCTTTGGCATACCAGTTGCATCACTAAATCTAATATTTAGAATTATCAATATATACTTAGAATTATGTCATAATTCTGTTTTCAATATTTTGAAGGACTTCTATACTGTTTTCCAAGAGAGCCATGCTAATTTACATTCCCACTAACAGCATACAGGCATTTCCCTTTTCCTATATACTCATCCACACTTGTTATCAATCCTCTTTTTATAAAATAGCCATTCTCAGTGGCCTGAGTAATAACTTACTATTATTATAACTTGCATTTCCTTGATGATTGAAGATGTGCATTATTTTCATGTATTTTTTGACCTTTTGTCTCTCTGCTTTAGAAATGTCTATTCAGATCCTTTGGCCATTGGTTGTTTTCTTATTATTGAGTTACATTCTTTACACACCTTGGTTATTAATTCCTTAGCCGATAGATGGTTTGCAAATAGTCATGAACTGTGTAACAACATTTTGATCAACAACCAACTGCAGATATAATGGTCCCATAAGGTTATACTAGAGCTGAAAATTTCTGTAACCTAGGAACATCACTGTCCTTAATGTGTGACACTGTCATCAGCATCACACATTGCATATTCACGATGATACTGGTGTAAACAAGCCTATTGCATTGCTAGGTATATAGAAGTATAGTGCATACAATTATGTACAGTTTATAATTGTTGACAATGATAATAAACGATTGTTACTGTTATGCATTTATTATACTATAGTTTTTAATCATTATTTAGAATTTATTCCTTCTGCTTATTAAAAATAGTTATCTATGAGACAGCCACAGGAAAACCTGCAGGAGGGAATGTGGGAGAGCCGCTGTTGTCAACAGTGGTGCTCCCTGAATGTTCCAAGGGACAAGGGACAGTCATAATGCTAAGCAGAGCAAGCTAGATTCAGAAAATTAACTATCACCTTTCTCTAATATGAAAAGCCTAAAATATAAATAAATAAATAAATAAATAAATAAATAAATAAATAAATAAAATAGAGATAATAGGAAGCTAGAAGGTAGATTCATAGAACTAGGGAAAGAGGGGAAGAAAGAAAGAGAGGTAAGGTATTAAAGCACTCAAAGTAACAGGTATGTACTGTTCTCCAAATAAACATCGCTCTTCTGCATTACACACATGTACAAATAAAAAAATCACATCATTAACATTAATTCATGTGTAGTTGAAAGAAATTTGTTATTAATAAAAGACTTTTCACCTAGAAAAAAGATTTAAATAGAAGATCTGAAGCTATTAAAGAGCAGAATACTTAAAATCTACACCCTCAAACACAAAATTTTACCCTTCAAATCAGATCTAGACTTTAAAGTCATTTTGAACCAATTTCTGTTCTCTGCTTTTGTTTAAAGGTTGTATTGGTAAATGTCAAATCCAGATATTTGTCTTCTGGATGCCAAAACTACAGAAGGAATACATGTTGGACTGCTTTCAAAATTTTGGTAATAGAATAAGTATTATCATATTATCACTTCCGTTTCTGCCTTTCTCCTTCAGCTGGTCATGCAGTCAGCATTGTTATTCCAGCTGAGCAGGTCCCTAAAAGTCACTGTTGGTCATCCAGACCTTCAATAATCACAAGAACACAGAGGAATTAGCAGTAATTAGAAGTGAAGAAAAGAAAGTCTATTGAAATAGACTTATAATAACACGGTAATGCAGGTGGTGACTAGAACTTTCCAGCAGATAAACTTTATTGTTTTCACTATGCCTCAAACTATTTGTCTGCTTTCATAAATTCCATATTTTGATTGTATCCCTTAAGGGAAAAGAACATTATTTTTCACATATTATCCATTCTCCTAAAAGTAAGTTGATATTCACACTGCATTACTGCTTTTTATATTGCTGCTACTATACTGTCATTTGTAGCAAAGACATCTTTAATTTGATACCTTTTAAAATCACATCATCTTAGAGAGCTGCAGGCATACATGGGAAGGCAGAAGGGCTCAAACATTCTGGGTCCTAAGTGATAAACACTGGCAATCTCTACTGGGGGATTCATGGGAGGAATTTAGCTTAAGCTCTGAGCTATTAGTAATTTTTCCTCGGCAAAGAGGTAATGTAAATCGTGAATATAGCAGCATAATAAATTCAGTAGAATTTTAGTCATGTAAGGAAAAATGTGGCCACTTACATTCCATTTCTACAAAGGCAAAGATAGAATTTCCTGGGATGTGATGTGCAGAAAAGCAGATCCTTGTGATGTGCAGAAAAGCAGATCATAGGTGTTATATGGGGAAAAAGTAATATAAGTTTTTGTAAAGGTTTAAACATTGAATGGGACTTTAGGCCAGGACTTAGAGTTTTTAATATACTGACATGCATTATAGCATGA